TTGGGCTGCTAAGAATGGCGATAATCTCTGACGATACCGGCCAAACGTTTGGGAATGTACCACATCCACGGTTCAACTTTGAAAATGATCACGTAGACAATGGACTCCGGACTAGGTGCGTTTTTGTACTTCTTTCTACAAATATGATCATGTTGCGAAAACAAGGTCAAATAACTTTTATTGGATGGTGTTGATTTTTTAATGCAAACAGTACTCTTTATCAGGAAGAAATAGAATATCAGCACTTCTGCAATTTTTATCAGCCACAAAAAACTCGGTTTAATAAGTTCTTTACTCATCTTGTTCATTGCCAAATACATTTACTGCCTCATCTTGGTATTTCCCGTCCGAATATCCCTTTCTGGCTTCAATCTTGATCGGTTCCCAAACTGCAGCATCTCTTCAGATTCTCCGGGTTCTATCTCTCTTCTAGGCTTGGCCAAGCACCGCTCCAGACGGCACTTGACAGGGCTGCTGACTATTCTCAAGCCATCTGGCTGGAGCTGCAGACTCGGCGACCAACTTTCTCCCACAGCACCTTTAATCTCAACTCTGCTGCTGCTGCTCAACCAGGCATACTACCGACTACCATCCCCTCAGTTGACTCCCTGCCTTCATCTCTATTTCGGCGGGTGGATCAAATTGCTCTGCTGCGTGGCAGTGGTCGCGTTTTAATGCATGAAGTAATCACTTGTCGAATAGCAGGCGCCTATGATGTGGATTTTAGGTGAATCCATGTTTCCTTATTTATAAAATTTGGCGCGATTAACTTGATGTGATTGTGTGAATGAAACCTTAGCCCAATAATAGTTTAATTGATTGCGTCGCATCTTGCAGTTCTATACTATATTTTTATTCTTTAATCCAATTTATTTTCATTGAGAGTAGTTGGTGCTTGATGACTGTGCGTAAAGGCCATAATGGATACTTTCGATTCCTTTAGACTTGTACTAAGTTACCCGTACAAAGTCTTAACAAAAGTGCAGCCTCTGTTGTGAATTCCATCTTGATCTAATAGTTACTGCGGAAGAAATGGCACAATTTGGATTCTATTCTTAAGCGTGAATGATTGTGTTAATGGGGCTAGTTTGAGCAAACTAATATAATTTAACTTTATGTATTAGATTAATGAACCTCAAAATCGCATTTAAAATTTCAACCGTATGCTATTGTAAATTAATTTAAAACCCGAAGTGATTCCTTATCAATATACTTCCTCCAGTGTTGTTTCGACCTTGTTTTCTCAACTTGTTCCAGCATTGGACCATCGGCTAGATACGTTCCCAAACTTTTTGGCGCCATTTTTAGTTGTAATTCTCTTCATTACGATGGCGCCTCTCACTGACGATGCCGGCGAAATGTTTGGGAATGTACCCAGCCAATGGTCAATGCTGGAAATCACAAAAACTATGGCAGAGGACACGGGACTTGTTGCGTTCCACAAGGTCTTCCAAGTTGCGAAGACAAGGTCGAACCAAACCTATAAAGGTAAAGGAGACTTTGACCAAACAGAAGGTCAC